TTGACGCGACATCCCACTTGAGCCTACAACACCCCTACCCAACTTTTTTTTTTTTTGGCCGACCCCTTATTTTCGGGGTGCGCCGCACCCCGTGCGCGGTGCGCGGTGCGGCGCACGTGCGGGATGCCGCGCACCTCGATGCCCCGCAAGTATGGTTTTTGGTCATGGACAGGCGGACTCCACCGCACGGGTGTCACGGAACAGTCCCTGACAATGCAAAATCGAACGCAATTTTCGACAGCCCGGCGGGCCACTGTCGACTTTCGGTCACCCGCAGGCTGGAGGACACGAGTGCTGGAGGGCGGCTGTCGAAAGTGTCATTCTGACACCTGTCGAATTTTTTTTGAAACGCAATTCGTCGAAAGTCTATGTGGCTATGCAAAACTGTCGAAAACTCGGTTTTCGACAGCCTGTGTGGCGAGCCCCTAAGTCTGTGTGTGTGCACGCTTGCTGGACTGCATGTCTGTCTGAGTGCTGGTTGGCTTGAGTGTGTGCGTGGCATGAAAGGGCACTTGTTCGTTCGTTGGGCCCTCAGGGCCGGTACTTACCTGTGGCCACGACATTGAGGGATTGCAGCGGGGAAAACACTCAAGTAGCAGGTAGGCCGGTACCGCACCCTGAAGAGGTAGATGTGCGGGTACTGGAGGCCGAGCAGAAGAAGACAAAAATGGCATTTTGAGAGGCCCAGTAGTTGTAGGCTAGGTCTAGGCGGGTACCAGTCCAACCAGTCTGAGTCTAGGGCCTGTACGGGCAATATCAGAGTCTGCAATGATGTTTCCCTCCGAAAGGGAGGAGGTATCGGTTGTCGGGAAGGCCGAGCGGCCTGGAAGTCACCGCCCAAGAGGCAAGCAGGCCGCTATATCTCCAGGCCGGGCGAAGAGCTCAGCCTCATTGTCGGTGTGCAAGTTTGGTGACACAGTGGTTGGAGCGCTGGCTGGAGCAGCGCTAGCTTGGAGCAGCGCTGCTGGGGGCTCGGAGGGGGAAGAAGGACAGGAAGGGGGAGGAGCGCCAGAGGTACTTACCTGGCTATGGTGGCGGCCATCTTCATCACCTTGGTGGGCGCTGCAGCAGGAAGGCCCCAGCTGGGGTTGAGCTACACCAAGAAGCGTTGAGGCAGGGTCAGGCATGGCGGCCTGAGCTAGAACAGCCATAGCTGCTTTGGGTTGTCCTTTGGGCATCTCGGCAAGGCCTAGTAGTTCGCCATAGCCTCGGCCTATGAGAGTGAAGAGCGGGAGAGGCAGCCATGGCATGCTGGTGTACATCATCTTCTCTCTCCTCTCAAGTTCATTCATTTCTTTCTGCAATTGGACAGCATTGTATTATCTGATGAGTGTGTATCTCGAAATTGGCCAGGATCATAACATTGGTATCGGAGCGGATTCTACTTGCTGGTGAGAGTCGACTTTGCTGCCCTAACCCTAACCTAAGTGGTTGAGGGCAACACTTAGGGATAGGCATGGATGTTAGGGAAGTGGGGCAGCGTGGCTAAGGGAAGCTGCCCCCACCCGGTTAGGTCATGTGGGGTCAACATTGAACCTAACCAGGTTGCTTGAGAGTGAGATTTGGGTGGCGAGACATTTCGTGGAGACTTCATGCGGCAATTTGAGAGAGGCGACAGTGAGAGGCACTCGCACCTGGAATCTGATTCAAGGGAGACACTTGGCAACTTAAGGGCTGCCCTCAAGTAGGCGAACTTGAGGGTTGGCGGCCATTCATCATCTACTGACTGCAAGTTGCTACTTTGTTCTTCAGCATCGGCGGGGGACCCGACGTTGCACTTTGGTGTTGGAGTCAGACCGTCCTAGGAGATAGGACACTAGTGTAGGGGTAGCGTTAAAGGGGTCAGGACGATCATATGAGAGGGGGGTGAGTTCTATTCATCTCGAAGCTCAAGCCACTCAGGTAAGTGCTGTGCACCTACGGGATGCCCATGTATGTGTGCATGGTATTGATTGTCCTGCTGGGGTTATTCTGAGTTTCTTTCCTACTCCTCTGTGGTTTTGATTGTGTGATTGAATCTGTGTGATCTACCTACTCACGTGATGGATGGAGAAACGAAGTATCTTGATTTGAATGCCGATTCTTTCTACAGTGCTTTGTCTTTTCATCTCTGAACGACTGTAGTCTGTAGGTTCTGCTGGAAGTTGAAATTCGTTTCCAGGATGGTAGAGGCAGAAACTTAGTCCAGGTGGGACTCCTCTTGGTTGGGACTTGGTCGTGACCTACATGGGACCCTTGGGACCCTGTGGGACCGAGCCCAAACAAGAAGAGCCCCTTGGACCCGAATCTGTTAGACATTAGTCCATTCTCTTCCTGACTAAGATCCAGAGTTTTATTATTGTTGGTTAGGACACCCACTGCCGAGGGGATCTCAGTTGAGACGTTTCGCATGCTTTTGGTTGCACTGTCCGTGGCTTGACTCGCACCCTGTACACCACTCAATTCTCCATTGTTGCATTTAGTCACTTGTTGTCTGATTGGTTGTACGGTCACAGAGCTGGTAAGACTGGACTCGAGAGGACCTCATATGCAGTCTGATTAGACCAAGTCGCTGGATCAGATCTCTCCTGTGAATTTGTTTTTTTTTGTGGTTTGCTGCTCTCTAGTCCAAATGTAATGCTGCTCCGGCTAGGAGTTCTACCTTCTCTGTTATTGAGCTTTTCAATTTGTTTCTTTCTCTGAATTCATTTTCGATGCCCGTGGAGACTCGCAACCAGAAAGAAGAGAGAGAGAGGAAAGAGAGAGAAAGTGACCGTTTGGAGTGGGCAAAGATTGGGAAACGGAGTGTTCGTCCAAGCAAAAAGGGGAGTGTACCTCTTGAGAGTCTGATTGATTCTTTTGCTGATTGGCGTTTCTCTAATCCACCTGTCGACGAAAACGGTCCGAAAATGGCCCAGCCACATCTAACCTCAGTACAGTGGCGGGCCCTGTTGGATGCAGCCGGCGATGCAGAAAAACCGTATCTACAAGCACTCCTAGATAGTGTTGTTAAAAGGGAACAGAAAACAACGGAGGAGGGGAAGGAGTTGTTGCTTAAGAGTCAAGTGGCCATCTTGGAAATTGTTCCCTCGCTGACCAACGAGCAGTGTGGGGAACAACTGCAGTCTATACTCACAGTTGTCGTTCAAGTCTGGAACCTTGAAGATCATACCACTTAGATCGTCGAAGTCTTCGCAAAATTGTGGACACTTCAAGAGGATCTGACTGATATGACTGACAAGTACCACGACTTGACGATGGAAGTTGCTACGCTGCGACAAGCCCAAGTGGCCAATCCTCTTCCTCTACCCCCTGGTTTCGGAGCTGCAATTGTAACTAATCTTGCCCCTCTTACGGTATCTTCTTCTAATTCTTCGTCTTCTTCTTTGAGTGTGATGGCAACCCCCCCGGGACCTGCAGCAGGTGCAAACTCCGCTGTTGCTGTAACAAGCAACGAGGCGGGAAATTCTGCAACTGCTGCAGCCCCAAGATCGAAACCAGCAGGTGCTGGTCCCAGCTACGCCGGTCCTATGTGGATCGAAAGGCGGTGCAAATACCATTTAAGTATGACGACAAAGAAGACGTTGAATCCTGGATGAGCTCCATGAGGGCATACTTTGAGGTTCTGGGGACTCAACCTGAGACCATGTCCGTGATCATGGGAATGAATGTCGAGTCTGTTGTACGGGTCTTCCTAGAAGTCCAAGCTACGCGAGTTGGAGTTCCAAAGATAAAACTAACAAGGTGGCTTAAGACCACCGCGGTTGCCTCCCTCGAAAAACTTCTTATCACACAATATATGGATCCACATGCTGCAGCAAGGGCAAGGAACCAACTTGACAACATCAAACGCAGCAAGTGGTCGGGCTCCATGAAAAGCCTTCAGACTTACCTCAGCAAGATGTTTGTCGCCCCAGGATTAAAAATGACTGATCAATGTAGTGAAAGGCGCGGTTCCCTGTAACTTCACCAATCGCCTAGGCAGGGACTTCATTGGATACACTGACTGGTTCACTTTAATGAAGAACATAGTCAGTCTCGAGGTTATAGACCTCGTTTCCAGAGCAGGCAGCAAAAAGCCCATGGGCGGCAGGCGGTTCAGAGGCAGCAGCCGCTTTGCTGTACATGACCTGTTGGAGGATGAAGAGGAGGCCTGCAGATGATCCCACTCTTGGTGACGACCAAGAACAGGACGATGATATAGCCTGTTCCTCGTCAGCCCATGAGTCTGACACAAATCATGAAGAAGAAAAATTCACTACCTTAAAAAAGACTGCCCATGCTAAGGGACCGAATCGTAATTTAGGGAAGAACTATGTCCAACTTCCCAAGGGAGTCAAAATCCCAGCGAAAGCGGAGGATGCAGCCACTAAACCGCGGGTTGACCTCCGGATCATTGAAAATGATTGGAGGGTTAGACTCAAGAAGGGGGTATGCTTGCATTGCCAAAAACCAAGCCATAAAGTACAAGAATGTTATAGGCTGCAGGGAAACCAGAACGAGGCGTAGAGTTGACTTCAGCATCCTCTACGGCAAGAGAGACCGAATCTGATGCAAATCAGCAGTCCTCCCTTGAAGCCCAATCATCTGCTGATTCCAAGGCTGAAGTGTGCCATGCTTTGTATGTCGAGCCTTGGGAGGAGTCTGAGACGGTTGACTTCCACTACCACTTGGAGCATTGGGCTGAGATGAAACATCAGCGTGCCCAAGGGACAGTGAAGTTGATTTTCTTCAAACTTCTCATAAACCACCACTATCTCCATGTCTTGATTGATTGTGGGGCGACTACTAACTTTATGTCACCACACGGGATACGCAAAGTGGGATTGGGAATGAAGCAAGTGGCTTTGCAGAACCCTTGTCGGACCCAAGTAGGCAGCAAGGAAGTTGTCTCCTCTACGCATGCAGTCAAAGGTGTGCGCACTACCTTTGACAAGGATAAAACCGTCACCCACGCTTTGAACTTCTATGTCCTTGACAAGTGTCCCTTTGACGCTGTCCTTGGCTTGGGCTGGCTGCAGTCCCAATGCGAATGGACCAAGTGGAAGGAGTCACTTTTCATGGTCAAAGATGCTCAAGGGAACGAGTTTCCCGTCCTCTTGGATGAGAAGTGTGAGTCCCCAATGACTTTTCTGAATGCTATGCAGTTCTGCAAGAAATGGCACAAGCATAAGGAGGATGAACAATTGTATGTTGCCTTTGTTCGTCCTACTCATGTGCCATCTACTTTTGCGGCACTACCTTATCTCGTGATTCCACTCCTAGCCCCTCTACTTCTTTACATACCCCTCATCTAAATGATTGTACTTCGGATTTTGTTGCATCCATTCACAACCTGCGACCTGGTCTAGGTGATCCCTTTGCTAACCCTTCACCCCCACCGGTCTCAACAAACATCCAAAACCTACTTGATCGGTTCCCAAAAGTTTTGGCCGAACCACGTGGTGTTCCCACGCGATCGGTCCGACACACCATCGAGTTGGTCGAAGGTGTTGTTCCTCCAAAGGGCTGCGTATACCGAATGGGATCCGGCGAGTTGGAGGAACTCCGGCGACAGATTGATGAAATGATTGACAAGGGTTGAATCAAGCCTAGTGAGTCTGAATTTGGTGCCCCTGTTTGTCCCGAAGAAAGGAGACAAACTCTGCATGTGTATTGACTATCGCGGTCTAAACCGCATCACAAAAGAGAACGCCTATCCATTGCCTCGCATAGATGACTTGCTTGATGCTGCAGGTGGGTGCAAGGTCTTCTCCAAGATCGACCTCAAGTCTGGCTATCACCAGATTGAAGTCGATCCTGCGGACCAGCATAAGACTGCGTTCACAACACGCGATGGGCTTTACAAGTTTACCGTAATGCCCTTTGGTCTCACGAACGCACCGACCACCTTTCAAAGCCTCATGGACAAGGTCCTCTGGAACAGATTGGTCGGTTCGTGGTGGTATACCTTGATGATATACTGATCTTCAGCAAATCCATGGAGGAACACATAAAGCACCTTGAGGAAGTGTTCACCATCCTCAAGAAGATGCAACTCTATCTCAACTTAGAAAAATGTGAGTTTGAGAGGGATAGCGTCATCTATCTTGGGCATCGGTTGTCTGCTGGAAGCCTAGAACCCGAGGCAACCAAGGTTGAGGTTATACGCTATTGGCCTCAACCCGCGAACATCCACGAACTGCGATCTTTTCTTGGTCTCGCGCCGTACTACCGGAAGTTTGTGCCCCGCTTCTGTATTGTTGCATGCCTGTTGTCCCGGTTAACAAGTAAGAACGTTCCTTACGCTTGGGATATCGCATGCAAGGATGCCTTTCAAGCTTTGAAAGAAGCTCTGGTAAGTCACCCTGTACTCCGCATTGCAAATCCCAAACTGACATTCGTAGTTACTACGGATGCAAGTCAGTATGGAATTGGCGCAGTGCTGCAACAAGATGACGACGATGACCTACAACCGCTCGAATATTACAGCAAACGCATGCCCAACGAAAAGGTAGCCATTTCCACCTACATGCGCGAGCTCTATGCTTTGCGTATGGCTTTGGACCATTGGAAATACTATCTTTTGGTACGACACTTCAAAGTGTTCTTAGATCATGAGACTCTAAAGTGGATCAAGGAGCAAACTACCCTGCCCCCTACGTTACTTCGCTGGTTCCATGAAATTGACATTTTTGACTTTGAGTTGAGACAAAAAAAGGGTTGTTACAATGGAGTTGCTAATGCATTGTCTCGCCACCCTGAGTACATGATTTGCCTTGTAAATTCCTACGACCTCTGGAAGAAACTGAAGGAGGAACTCGTAGAACACACTGCCAAGGATCCAAACCTTAGTCCCATCCTTGAGCAGCTGCGGGCTGACCCCATCAGCCAGCCTGTTTTTCACAAGTATGGAGGAGTGATTTTTCGTCGCTACGGGAATTACGACCGTTTGCGTGTGCCAACCATGAGCCTCTCTGCACGCACTTTCTGGACTTGGCTCATGGACTGAGTGGACACTTCGGCATGGCAAAGACTTACGGAAACCTATTGAGGCAGTTTGCCTGTCATGAAGGGATCTACTGAAAAGTTTGTGGCTGAATGTCAAATCTGTCAACGAATCAAAGCATGTAGACAAAAGCCCATGGGGCTACTTACACCCCTTCCCACTCCTGATGGTCTCGGGGAGTCTGTCTCTATCGACTTCACCGACATGGGAAAGGTAAGTAAGAATGGTTATTCACAAGTCATGGTGATTGTTGACCGCTTCTCTAACCCTGAGCAGCCAGCTGGTTTAACACCCGGCAGGCCTGGCTTCAGGGCCAAGTACGATCGCTTGCTCAAAGTTGCTATTGCAGCAATGACCAAGCGACAACACGCCATGATCCATCATGCAAACAAGAAGCGCCGACCTTCAGATATCGAGGTGGGAAGTTATGTCTGTGTCAAGATGTCCGAGTTTTTAGAAGAAGAGGGAGTATCACGTAAACTTCTCCCACTCTATTATGGTCCATGGGAAGTTTTGGATGTGATTGGTGAAGATAAATTTGGCTCTTCATACATGGTTGCTGTGCGACCTCATCTACGCACATATCCCGTGTTTCATGCATAAAAACTGTATCTCCATTGTGATGCTAAGTCGTTTGATTACCGTGAAGACATGATTACTCATGCAATCAAAGGCGGACATGAGATAGACATAATTAAACAGCACGTAGGGAACGCATGCAACAGACAGTACCAGATTCATTTCATGTACCACCCATTGGATGATTTATACTGGATTTCCAAGCAGGAACTACTGCGCAGCGCACCACGCGTTGTGAAAGCCTACGAGCGACAAATTGCCTCCAATGATGCACCTAAAATCTCTGCCAAGCTCACTACGATGCGTTTGTCGGGGACTCAGAATGAGTTACTCGCTCGAAGGGACCTCGATCTTGAGGGGGGAGTAGTGTGATGACCCGACCAAACATGGACTGAAACACACGGCTGATTTCTGAGTTTTGCTCATGGACTGAATGCCTTGCTGAGTCTCCCGCTTGCTATCATGTTTTCTAAGTCTGTGTGTGTGCACGCTTGCTGGACTGCATGTCTGTCTGAGTGCTGGTTGGCTTGAGTGTGTGCGTGGCCCGAAAGGGCACTTGTTCATTCGTTGGGGCCTCAGGGCCGGTACTTACCTGTGGCCACAACACTGAGGGATTGCAGCGGGGAAAACACTCAAGTAGCAGGTAGGCCGGTACCGCACCCTGAAGAGGTAGATGTGCGGGTACTGAAGGCCGAGCAGAAGAAGACAAAAGTGGCATTTTGAGAGGCCCAGTAGTTGTAGGCTAGGTCTAGGCGGGTACCAGTCCAACCAGTCTGAGTCTAGGGCCTGTACGACCAATATAAGAGTCTGCAATGATGTTTCCCTCCGAAAAGGAGGAGGTACCAGTTGCTGGGAAGGCCGAGCGGCCTGGAAGTCACCGCCCAAGAGGCAAGCAGGCCGCTATATCTCCAGGCCGGGCGAAGAGCCCAACCTCATTGTCGGTGTGCAAGTTTGGCGACACACTGGTTGGAGCGTTGGTTGGAGCAGCGCTAGCTTGGAGCAGCGCTGCTGGGGAAGAAGCAAGGACTCAGGGGGGGAAGAAGGACAGGAAGGGGGAGGAGCGCCAGAGGTACTTACCTGGCTATGGTGGCAACCATCTTCATAACCTTGGTGGGCGCTGCAGCAGGAAGGCCCCAAATGGGGTTGAGCTACCCCAAGAAGCTTCGAGGCAGGGTCAGGCATGGCGGCCTGAGCTAGAGCAGCCATAGCTGCTTTGGGTTATCTTTTGGGCATCTGGGCAAGGCCTAGTAGTCCGCCATAGCCTCGGCCTATGAGAGTGAAGAGTGGGAGAGGCAGTTATGGCTATGGTGGACCTCAAGTGATACCTGCAGTAGAAGAGGGATTCAAACTTTGATTCTGGTTCAGCTATTCAGCATTGTATTATTAATTCTTGTGTGAATAAGAGAGGAAGAGAGAGTTGAGCGAAGAAGAAGAGCTTATATCATTTGTCTATGCTGGTGCACGTCATCTTCTTCTTCTTTCTTACTTCTTCTTCGTCTTCTAACCTTCTCTCTCCTCTCAAGTTCAGTCATTTCTTTCTGCAATTGGACAGCATTGTATTATCTGATGAATGTGTATCTCGAAATTGGCCAGGATCATAACATAGGGGAGACTCTGCCCTGCGTTGGGAAAGGGTGTGGGACTGGGGTGGGCCGCTTCATGGAAGTTTCTTTTGTGGCTCGGTTCATTGATTGCTCGAATCCAGAGGGGCACGTGGCGTTGGGAAAAGCGCGCTTGACATTTTTTTCAGACGCGTCGGATCGGGCTCTGCGTCATGTTCGCGTTTTTGCAGGCTGCATCGCTTGGCCTCAGGCCTTATCAAGGGTCTTTTTTTTTCCCACCAAATTTATTAATTTAGTACGTCACTACTTAGACTGAAGGAACTAAACATGTTGGGGTGACTATTTTTTTTTGTCCCCTTCTGGAAGACTATGGGAAGTATTGGTCCACCCAAAAGCACAAGTGCCCATCGCTGGTCAACTTGTTTAACGTTGGGGTCTAGGCTGTTTTCCCGGGCGCCCGGGCACCCAACTTCTGCCCGGGTACACGCCCGGGTGCCCAGCCGGGCATGACCCCCGGGCAGGGTTCCGGGCAGCCCCAGCGCCAAAAAAAAAAAGAAAAACCCTCAAAAAATTCCGGGAAAAAAAATGTTGTGTAGGATTGAAATGCAAACCACTTTTGGCTGAGGGTCACATTATAATTCCTCACCGAATCGGAGATGAAAAAGAAAATAACAGAATCACACAAAGGCACCCCCCTTTAGACCCCTTTAGCCCCTTTAAAACCAATTTATACCCCCCTCCCCCCCCCTTGATAGCCAACTCGCAAAAAACGAAATGGGCCCGGATTTGGAGTCCTCTGGGAGAGCGCGGAAAACCAAAAAAAAAAAAAAAATAATTTTTTTTTTTTTGCACGCCCGGGTACCCTGGGCGGCACCCAGGCCGGGCAAAACCGGCCGGGCGTGAGAATCTTCCTAGGTTGGGGTGGTTTTTTTTTTTTTTTTTCCCTAACAAAGCTTCCCCGATCCATATTCTAGGGGCTGATAAGAGGAGTCCCCTGTGGCAGGCCATGGGCGGCTCCAATCTATTGGTGGGGAGCAACACCTGCTGGAAATAGGGTCGAGCGTCCCTTGACAATTGTATCAAAACATAGAGTATTTACGGCCGGACCAGAGATGTGTAGATTCTACCGTTGACTCATTTGGCCCTCACCGCCTCTACACCGGCAATTGTGTTAGACCAGGGGTCCCTTATCAGCAGGGCCAGAGGAGGGGCTGGGAAGGGTGGGGGTGGAGGAATAAAAGCCAGTTCAGAAATCCGGGGGGCGTCTTGAGGCTGAAGCTAGCCTTCATTCCTCCCATCACCCATCCTGCATCGTCCCACCCTGATCCTGTTGGGAGGACCGCTCCTGCTCCCTGCTGTACCAACCAAGCTCTACCAGTGTATGACTCCGGAGAGGGAATAAGTCTGGGAAATCAGACGGAGGGGGGAGGGGAATACCAAAAGTGGTAGCAGTCCAATCGTTAAAGCATAGTCGATAGTCTATTAGTGAAGCCTGTAGTCGCAGGTAGTCATCCAGCTGCCAGCCCTCCCATTGGACCCTCGCTATCCTTCCCCCTGGCCCAGCCAGTCCACTCAAAATTCGTTTATAACTGGAAGATATTCATCTCTTAGGAAATACGGACGATACGGAGCAGTGGAAAGGGGTTGTCTCACTGCTCTGGAATGTCTGGAGTAGACAATAGTCAAACTATGCTGAGGAGCCGTACAGCTGTCTCGTATGTCGTTA